TAATAATAATAATAATAATAATAATAATAATAATAATAATAATAATAATAATAATAATAATAATAATAATAATAATAATAATAATATGACAAACTTAGGGGACTAATTTCGAAATTTTCTCGATATTATTAAAAGTGATATAAGTTTGAACTGTGTAGTCAAACGGTCACGTACAACAGTCAAAAAGAAAGAACTGTGGGAGTCGAAGAGAGAGGTTAAGAGAGAAATGATAGCGGTGGTTAAATGGAGAGGACGGAAATGAATGGCAAAAGAGAATAAAGGTATCATCATCGGTACAGAAAGGGCATATCGATCCTCTCGTCTCTCGTTTTCTGTATCGTCAGTCCCTAGCGCAGTGGGAGCTCAAGCTACACAAGCTGCCGAGAGAGAGAGAGAGAGAGAGCAGCTGCGTTGCAAAGGGGTCAACTCTTAATCGGTATGTTCCCTTTTTAGCTCTTGCGGTTCCGCTCTCCTTTCCGCAAATTGTAATTTAACCTACTTCCGTAGAATCAGTTTCTTCTCCCGCCCTTTTAACTAACTTGGGTTTTCAGTCTTTAAATGTCAAAAAAGTAGAAACTCCTTCCTCCTAATTGGTGTGGGGATTATGGCTCCATCATCATTCCATTGCCTGATTATTCTGAAAAGCTAAAAATGGATTTCTTATGCGTCAGATAATGCTAGAATTAGTATAGTCGATCATGGTGGTGTAGATACCTAGTGCTTTACTAACCTCAATTTGTGGAATTTATTGTTCAAGTTATGGTAATTTCCTGGAAACTCCAAGTTGGCTTGTCATTGTTCTTTTCAGCTTTGACTTGTTTATTCTCTTTACTCAGAACCAATTCTTCTTCATTTGGTGATGCATATAGATAGTGTGGTTTTCTTGTCCCGATGTCAAACGAAGGGAACCATGTCTCTCTGTCTTCCGCTGATTGTGCTTTTGGGAAGCTTCCAGATCATCTGCTTATAGAAATTTTCGTTTGCGTCCCTATATCTGACTGGGGATATTTGTCTTGTGTTAAGAAACATTGGGCTCATCTGTTTCGGCAAGAGTTCTTGTGGAATGCTGCTCTTCTCAGAACTTTTCCTCTAGCTCGCCATGCTAAGAGATGGCCAGGGCCTATTCCTCAAGGCTTGAGCAAAAGGTAGGAGGAAAGAGCTGATGTGCACTCTTTTATTGTGCAGGCAGGGGAAAAAATTACTGAAAATTTTCATTGATTGGCATTTGAAAACTTAAAGACATCTCATGATATTACCTCCATTTCATTCAATTCATTTTTAGTTGTTTGGTGCTCCTAGTTTCCATATGGAATGTCTCTCTTGCATTTTGAGTTCATGCTAAAATGATGTCACTGTATCAGTTAGAAAGTTTAGTGCACCCCTATTTACAATTCAGAATGTCCTCTTCTTCAATGCCTTAATTTTCAATTCTTACTTTCCAAAGTCAAAGCATGACAATTTGGAGGGAGAAAAGAGTTTCGACTTTATCTTAAAAATATTCCAGATATATTCAAAAGCAAAAGTTTTCACCCGTTCTGGATAAAACATGACACTATGGATTGTCTTTGCATCACCATATTCCTGGAATAGTCATTTTGGTTTATGATAAGATAGGAACTAGACTGTTAAAAAAACATATGACTGTATGAAGTTAGATATGATGAAAAGAATTATGTTTATGAAATCTTTGAAGTTCGTCATCAAAAGAATGTAAGCTTTGAAGTTAGGTATACTTCCTTTATATTCTGAGAGAACAGACAGCGACGTTGATCTGCACTCTAAAATGAATAAGATTGAAGAAAAAAGCTTATTTTAGAGCATCTTAAGGTTAATAGTTAATTTGACTTCATGTTTGATTTGTTATATCATGTTTTCTCTATGAGTGACATCCTGGTGCCATTACCTTGTTTCAGGAGATATGCTGCACTGTATGTCAGCAAACATATCTTTTCTCTGGGTGAAGAAGTGGACGACGAGATTGTTGGTCATGTCTATTTATTTCTCAAAGAGCAGCTTGAAATTTCGAAAATGCCACCTTTGTCTGGAGTACTTCATGGAACCATCATAGGTACAGTCTCATTAATGACCTACATTTCTGCTATTCCTCTTTTCTTTTGATGGACCTCTTGCTGTTTCTTATATTAAGAGATCCAAAGAGATACTTCAGATGTGAGGATTTCAGTATGACAATCTTGGCCTGGCTTTCTTATTTCCTGAAAGCTTTAGCACTTCCATGTGCAAAGGAAATCATGTTCTTTGTTGTTTTTTTCTCATTCATAAACAAGAGACTTTATTGCCAAAAGGTTATATTAGTGGGAAAAGGAACTAGGTAGAAAATCAGCATAATCCTTTTCTGGCAAGGGAAATGTTAAGAACCATTGCACGAAAGAATAATAGCAAAAAGACTCAGCCTTGATAGGTCACACCATTGTCTTTAGTTCGAAAACCGGTAGGACTCTGCACTAGGTATTATTTTTTGATGTTTTCACAACAGAATAAAGCTAATAGAAGGTTAACATATCATCAAAATTTGAAGTACAAAATAAATTGTTTCTGAAACATGGTGTGTTACACCACTAATGTATAAAGTTGAGGTAAAGGTAAATGGATAAAGAAGATACAAAAAGCTTCCTAATCTTCATTTGGTGAAAGGCCATTGCAGTTACCACCATGAGGACTACGGCGTCCGCTACTTAAAAACATGCCAAGTTCCGAGTTGCATCATTTACTCTGATATCTGCTTCTGTATATAATAGAGAGCACAGTCCTTAAGCTGATAATTGCAGGAAATCTTAATATTTCATCTCAAACCAATGAAGTAAGGTGCAGGTATTATCAGTCTAATCAAGACTCAAGTACATAGCAACTTCAGATGGTAGGTTTCTTTGAAGTGTGTCTTAAGTTTCCTTGGCTTTACTTGAGCTTTGATTTGGACAGCATAATGCCCAACCGATTAGGCACATGTCTTTGCTGGTAGAGATTTAATGCCTCTTCTCTATTGAGCTCGAAACTTCCAAACTCTGGATGTTAAGTTTTCCTTGATATCAATTGACTTCATTTTCTCTTATTAAGAGTGGGGATATTTGGAAAGAGATACAATATCGGGTATCCTCTCTGGATTTTGAACAGATCTAAGGTGGGGTGGTAGCGCCTGCTTTATTTCATGTGTTTTGAATTTATATACCGGTCTGAGAAAAGTTAGCTCAGAATATGTTGGAGTCGGCTACAGAAATTCTCTATATCAATTCTGTCCATTTGAACCTGTGTCATTCTAATACTCAACAATATATCTTTTAGGAGTAAGGTTTTTTTAATGAGTAGAGGTTCTCTGCATCTCACAATTATCCCTGCACTGTGTAGAAACCTCGGAAAAGAATTAAATAAACCCTTGGCTAAAACCAAACCAATGTACAATATTGCTACATTGGAAGGAGCCGCTACAGCCATTCAAACTGTTCCAAAATACCCTTCAGAAATGAATATAAAATAAAAGGCGGAGAAGGGGTCATTGGAACAACAATATGATTGTGCTATATTCTTGTGGAACTAGTGAGATTGGAAGAAACTATGTGCATCAGAGCCCAGAAGGAGCTACTTGCTTGAACAGTTACGGCTTTAACTGATTGATGCTATTACGTATAGAATATCAGCTTATCGGCTGCCTTGCAGATTACTATGGCTAGCCCGACAATGAAGCTGTACCACTTCTTTTGCTTGTGAAGGAACACTCGGAAATTAGATAGCGTACCTTTGAGCAGGAAAAGTGACGCCATGGAGAAACTACGGATCATGCCATAATTTATTTAGGCTTTATTTCTTACTTTTTAAGTTAAATTTACCTCTTTTATGGCTTCTCTGTCATTCTGAAACAGAAATATGAAGTTATGCAGCAGACACTTATAAAAAAGAAATTATGCAACATACATGAGATCTTCCAGTGAGATCTGATATCAGTTCAAAAATCCAGGGCAAACAAGCTTATGAAGTGGCTTTGATATCACAATCCCTTGAGGAGTATTTGGAGAAGGAACACTTTTTTTAATCTGTACTTGTATAGACTCAAAAGACTATGTTTGGTTGTGCTGTTCTTCTGTGTAGATGCACTGCATGTCTATATTATAGGTGTCAAGTCAGAAACTAACTTTGATATGGCCCCATCGATTGGAATTAAGTGTGGATCTATTTAGTGTTTAACGCTCTACACTCATAATATCCTGATATTAACCCATTATTTAACTTTTTCCTTCTCAACCCTATAATCTTGCTTTATCTTTTTGTTTCTCCGGTAAACAACCTCTCTATCCTCACAAGGTAGGGGTAAGGTCTGCGTACACACTACCCTTCCCAGACCCCACGGTGTGGGATAATACTGGGCATGTTGTTGTTGTTGTTGTTTATCTTTTTGTTTCTCCAGATCAGTTTATTGCCTGTGGTAAGTCGAGGGACATGGCTCATGAGCTTGCTTCAATAATATGGCTGGCTGTGATCGACAACTTGGAAGAGAATGAACAAACATTTGATTTACTAAAGCGTCTTGCATCAGAAGGGGATGTAAGCAAAATCACAAAATCTTCTATTCTTTGTCGTACCTCTGATAATCACTGTGTGTGTCCTGTATTGATGGTCTTGTTATGAGCATCATCTTTCTGAAGGTCAAAAGAGGGGGTTGGAGTGTCTGCAAATCAGTGTTCTTGATGTGTGCTTGTGTCCAATAGTTGTTAAATCAAACTGTAGTGATAGTTCTTTGTGTTGTTTTATACTTATCAAAAAAACAAAAAAAGTTGTGTGTTGTTTAATCTGCTAAGTTTTGTTATGTGGTAGGAGCTTGATTATAAGAGGCTAACTATCCAAATATTAAAGATGGCAGTAAGAGCGTCAAAACAAATAGACTCGAGTCTTTTGATGCAGTTATCATCTTACTTTATAGTTCAGACAATTTTCATGCTTTCTTTAGTAACATAGTGCTTCGTCTGTCCTTCAATATTTTTGCAGGTGATCTTACCTTTCCCGTACTCAAGGTCTTATAAAATCCAATCTCGAGTGTTTGAAAGGCTTTTCACAGACTTCCGTGACTGCCTGAATCATGTGGAGTACTGTGATCTTTTGGCATGTGCCAAGCAAAAGTTTCAACCTATACCATCTGCATGGTTGGGTTACTAGCTTTGCAGCATACACTTACAAGTGTGTACAGAATGCAAGCGTCTATTCTGTTCCTGATTCTTAATATGTAATCTTGCAAGACATGTAAATGGAACATGACGGAGTGACAAGACTATGAATTCTAAATGCATATTGTAAAGGTTTATGTTCGAAATGAATGTGCTTTCAACCTGTCGGACTTGGAAAACAGGGGGAGGGGGTGTGATCCTACATCAAGATCACGGAATGCACATGAGAATGAGTAACTTGAGTTTGATTAGTTGTTTATCCGAAAAATGGATAGAGTTGAATTTATACGTAGTTCCAAGGATATGTGGCGCAACTTAATACAAATTGTAAGGATAAATAGAAATATAAATATGGATTGCAAAGAATGCGAAATAGATAAGGTTGTAAAGAACATGAATCTTAGGATTCATCAAGTAGAATCAATTTAAGAAGCCTGAAAGGACGATTCTTTACTATGGGAGAATATAGTATTTTTATTACAATGTAAGCCTGAAAAAACTTGCCTTTACAGAAATGATAACCATGCTCTTTATAGTAGAGGGACTTTGCTCTAAGCATAATAAAAAAAATACTCAGTGGGAGACCCATGATAAATCAATTTTTTCACAATTTCTGCCAAGATTCTCTCTAGTGGGATTGCAACGGCTTTTGTCTGCGAGCTCGATTTTGCCTAGAGCCCTCGATTTTGGTTTGAGCTCGATTCTAACCCGAGCTCTCGATCTTGGCTCAAGCTCGATTCTGACTCGAGCTCTCGAATTGATTCGGGGTCAATGTTGGTAGGTCTCTGGATCATAAGCATGATAGATTTACTCTGCATCATAGTTCGATTTGGATTCGAGCTCGATAACGATGTCGAACTCGACATGGATCGGCCCCTCGGGTTCGAGGCATTTAATGTATGTCAGACGGTGGTCGGCCACCGCTGATACTGAACCGCCATCGCTTAAGCCTATAAATAACCCTTCCTCTTACCTTTTACCACTTTTACATCTTCAATCTTCCAATGTTTCCCAAGTCCCTTTTCGTATTTTCTGATTTACCCGCAAGTCTGTGATTTCCCAAAGCCCCTCTTCAATTCTACCAAATCTTTGTCACTTTCTTCTATTCCTCACCTTTGAATTCGAAAATGGCGAAAACATCTCAAACCATTCCTCAGAAAGAGAAGGCTTCATCTTCATAGTGTGCCGCCGATGAGACACCGGTAAAACCACGGCCTGAGGAGTGCGTTCCCGGGGTGTGTGTTCTTACTTCTGATTTTAAGGTCGATAAAGGCTCATCGGTCCCTGGCCGGTGCGAGCCAGTATCGAGGTACATGTGTTCGATAACCAAGAAGCACCTCAAACAGCTAAAGAAGGATTGCAATTGGGGTGAAAAAGAAATAACAATTCCTACTCCTGACGAAGATATCACTTCTTACGTGAAAGAGTTTTTGAATGTGTATACTTACCCTTTCACGTTAGGTCCCCTCAATTTCATTATTATTGACTTCTGCAGTCAATACCAGATAACCCTAGGCCAGGTCCATCCTTCTTTTTGGCGGATCGTTATCCTGATCCGATACTTTGTGAGCAAAATCAAGGGGATGTCGTTCACCCTCGACCATCTTATCCGATTATACCGTCCTTGACTTTTTCGAGGAGGGTTAATAAAACTTCAGTGTCGGGCTACCAAGGCTCTGTTCTCGTGCATTGACGAGGACAGTGATCGGGGTTGGATGGGCAGGTTCGTTCGAGTGAGGACTTCGGACCTGATTCCGACTGAAAAGATGCCCTTTCCCGAGGACTGGAATATGAAACGTTAGTGTGATCCTGTTGTTACTTCTACTTTGTTCTTTCATTTCTTCTCTCATCGACACTCCTCCTTTTGTGATGTAGCGGTTCCCTGGATGCCCGGAGCAGTTCCCGATCTCAAGAACTGGGTACGAGCTCTTGTTTCGACCTCCACATACGCCGAGCGCTCATGGCGTGATTTGTCAAAGGGTCGGTGGGAGGCCAAAAATCATGGTAAGCCCCTTTCTCGTACTCTTTGATAATTCGAACGAGGTGGTTTTAAAAATATTTTATTAAGATTTTCCATATGCAGGTTTGGGTAAAGACGCAGTTTTGAGGCCCTTGTCCAACGAGGAAGAAATTTTGGCCTCTGTCCCAAAGCCGGTGAAGGAAAATAAAAGGAAAAGAGCCTCCGTTCCTGAAGATCCAAAACCGAAGAAGAGGACGGCTCATAAGCCGAACAGGAATGCCATTCCTTTAACCGTGGAATCAGTTCTGAGTCTAAGGGATGAAGATGAAGAAGAAGAAGAAGAAAACGATGGGTCTGCACTGGCGGCCTGAACGAAGAGAACCACTGATGCCCCATCGGCAGCTGGATCGATGATGCTTCATGAGGCTCCGCCTCGAACTGAGGATATACCGGAGAAAGATTCGGGTAGAGTCCCTGAATTATCGGAGATCGAAGACGCATCTCATTGGAGCCAATGGGCAGGGGATATGACTGAAGGGGCCCTCGAATCCCTTCGACCCGAAGAGAATGCTCCAGGTAATTCATTTGGGGCAGCAGCAATCGAGGATTCGCCTACCTTTCCCGTTTTTTCAGCAGGGGTGATTCGGGAAGCCCAAGCTCTGAGGGCCCTCGATCTAGATAGGCCTCACGATGGAGAGGATCCCTTTCGTGACCTATTTACCGGTATCGAGGACGTTGCCGGTACTGGTGATGAATCGGATCTTTTTCACGGGGTGCCGCAGGCTTTGAATCAGGTAAGCTTTAAAATTATTTTGTCGGTACTACCTTTATGTTTACTTTTCGTTAACTTTGTTTTTTATTTCTTTGTAGGCAGCGGCAGTTCATCGAGAAGCATGTTCTCGGTCCCAAAACGAGCTGCATCGATACGAGGCCGACCTAAAACGGGCTACTGATGAGAGGAACTCCCTTAGACTTCTCTTAGGGCAGAGAGAAGAGGAAACAAAAGACCTCCGAGTTGAGTTGGCCAAGGCTTATCGAGATCATACCGATTTGTCTGAGCAGGTAATGATACTTTTGAAAGCCTATGGGCTTAATACCGGAACAATGGCTAACTTTTCGGTCTCACAGCTGCAGCAAAAAATCGAGATGATCGGGAAGCTTCGTGAAGAGGTCGATGTGATAAAAGTGGAATCTTTGCAGTGGAAAAAAGGTATGGACCGCTTTGCTGCAGAGAAAGAAATTGCTCGAGCCCAGTTATCATCGGCCGAAACCTAACTTCAGAGAATGAAGGAAAAAGGCCTGGTTCAAGCAAGAAGAATAGAGGATCTTGAGGCTCGGTTGGCCTCTGTACTTGCCAAGGCCGAATCTAATGCCGAAAAGGCAAAGGCCGATGTGGATGCACTCGC